GCAAGATTAAATAAAAACCGACACGTCTAGAAGGTGATGTACTTAACAATAGATGTTTACTGAAGTGTGCCCTCAGCCCCTCATAAGCAACTTGAAAAACATTTCCCAGAGAATGTGACGTCAGTCGCTGCTATCAATAAATGATTAATCAATCATCGTCTGCAACATGTCATTTCTAAATGCTCATGCGCAAGGATTTTAATTTAAAAAAAAATAGGCACAGAATTAAACGAGATTTAGGCGATTTATTTTGATCTTGCTTAAAACACATAAAAGGCAGTGGCGTATCCGGCTTTTTTCGGGGGGGGGGGGCAAATTCAATAGCCGAATGCGGTTGCGGATCATTCAACATGATGTTGGGGCAAAAAATATCAAAGGCATTACTTGCGGTCCCTAGTCCTTGATTTATCTCATGTGTTGTTTTCTTACGGTTTTGGTACTAATATCTGATAAATAAATATACCGACTCTGAAGTATTCTTTGTAAAGAAATAAATAAATAATCCGTCTGGGGCAAGTTTCCCCCCCCCTCCCTGGATACGCCACCGATTAAAGGCTTTGAACTAGTGCCTGCATTGTATAGATTATCAAAACATTCCAACGTGAGTTTGTGTAAAAGATCTGTTGGATGTCTAATCGACCCATTTACTGATATCCTTTACGATGTGGTTCTATCCTTTCTGGCAATAACGGTTGGATTCGCTTGTAGCTCTTTCTACAGTGCCCATAGTGACCACGAAACATATTGCAGTGATGATATCAGACTTGTTTAGCGAGACCTAGCCCAAAACTGAATTGTAAATGATCTGTGATACGAAGACGAAGCAACATGAAAAGCATGATAACATCTTACTTTGCGATCAATAAGGCATCGGCATTATGGTCGTTAAGTGATGACCAGAAGATCGTGGGTATGATAACCGTGATGGAACTTTTTCCCACTGTCCTTCAGCTTATTGTTTAGAAAAGCGTTATGGTCAAGTATTCAGGAATATTTGTCTTGAACATGAAGCTAAGACGTGGCTGTATTTGGATACATGCATCTTCACAACGTCACTCAGCTAGCTTTGGTTGTTTTTTGTGGTTTTTGTTCTTCATTCGATAACCCAATGTTTCAAGGTTTTCAGATGTCTGGGGATGCTACTGTTTGACAGCCAACGTTAAAGTTTCGATTCGACCCGTGTACTTGATTGTATGAACCAGTGCATTCTTTTCACTGATATGAAGTATACTTGGATTTTACCATAAAATGAAATCCCAATCATCTGCTGGATGGATATCATTCGATTCATTCGGTCAACCAGAAGCCACACACGGGGTATCCTTGACCGTCTCAACACGCCTCAGCTAAGCGCAGTTTTATCAACAACCTGACATTACTTCTATTTGCTCGTCTCACAATCGATTTTAGCATACGGCGGTCTTTTTGATCATAAATTATCCAAATTTATGGAAAACCTATTTTTATATGAGCATTGATTGTGTATTAAAACCAGTAGACATATTTATTGCTTGACTTTGAACATGTGTCTGCGCACAAATCAGTGCCCGCCTAAATAGCGATTGTATTATAGCATGGATGAGGGCAACTTCATAATCCTCTTTGGTATCATATGACATTATAAGCTGGCGTCGTTTTCTCCTTTTTTCAATTGTCGATTTTAATGTCATCTGAACTGTGACGAACTGTGTCAGCACAAAAATAAAAGTTGTTAAAATAGAAACGAGGGTAAAACATGCAACGGAAACGATCTGAGAGGTAAACCAAATTAAATTTGTATTAAGAGACCAACGGTTTATTAACCTTGAAAGGTAGTGCTGTGAACATGGAGTTGATGGAATGTGGGTAAACGTTTGTGACCGTTGTGGAATATGTCATTGCAATTCAGTTGCTCGTGTAGGTATCAACTCCTTGGAAGTCTATCCACAGAAACGTTCAAATTGCCCCACAACGCCAACCTTGGATAGGTTCGTACACACCTATATACGAAATCACGAATATCTGCTGTTTAGTTTTCACTAATCATTCATTGATTATATCTTTATTGCGACATTTTGTTGACTGTTATGCGACTAACACGTAATACATCTCTCAAAGAATGCAATTTTCTACTCGCTTGCAAAAAACCTTTGCGACTTTGCCAAATCAGCGCTTGTAACATTACACGGCACATTCAAAAAGGACAATTCTTGAAAACTCGTGACATTGCTCATCCTTAATTCAGTGACTTGTCCGCTGCTTATTGCTGATTACTTTCAGCGATGCGTGGATTTTGAGTGATATAATCAGTTATGACGCCCTCCATACGTCTTATCACCTGTATGTCAACTCATCCGCTCGATGAGAATGACTAACTGGAGTTTCTTTCTTATTGTCTATCTTACTCGTGTCACTGTTAATATGATTGATTGTTTTGAGGAATTTATCACATATGGCTACCAGGACTGAATTCAAACTTCGCCTGACGACCTACAATATTATTTGCGACCACAGAGGGGCGCACCGCAGAAATTATAATTCAATGTTTTCTTCCACCCTCGCTCTTCAATTGATTGAATCTTCATGCGGTGAATTTAAGGGATGCCTCTGGGCAAGGTTGAAATAGTGTGGATTGTTGACTGACTCAAATTGTAAATCAAGATGGCGACATTGAGAAATGCTACAAATTGAAGGGAAGCATTGCAGCTTTACTGGTAAAAGCTAAGTAACCTGCGATTAAAGACCTATCCCATCCTTCGTTTGGTTGATTTCAACAACTTGACGTAAACAATGAGGTTCGTGATTGAATGAAGACGGCGTAAAGAGCCCTTGTGGAACCCTAATGCATTGGTCACTTAGGTTACAAAAACAAATACAAATCGGAAGATCTTTACTACTCCGAACTAACTCACGAACCATGGACAGTTTCTCTCTATACTTCATTGCAATTAACGCATTCATAGCTTTGTAGCTGATGCTTAGAAAACATTCCTTTTTGCCCAGATCCCTACTTGAAAACTACCTTGCTGCACTCGCTTATTCATTCAATATAGAAAAGTTCTATAACCGGCCGTGTGCAGTGTATAGTTCAGGAGAGCTTAGTTGCTGAAAGGGTTCCCTCATTATCAATGGCTACACAGACTTCTTTTTAACACGAAGGCTATGGTTGGTGGAAGTAGGTATTCAAAAGGCTGACATACATTGGCCTATACTACCTTGTTGGAGGAACGAAATTAAACCATCGCACTCGAATACCGTTCGGGTTAACGATAGGAGCCATACTTTGAGCCACACTGCTAACTTACCGGAAACTCAATCTGAGTGGAACCAAATTTAGCTTGTTGAAAGTTCACAGGTAAAGTATGACGTCAGCGGTGACATCAGAATTGTATTTGAACCAAAAGAAAACACTGCCCTTTACAGTAGACGGTAGTTGCTCCTGGCAACTGGTCGATTGTCATCCACACGCTTTTCGTGAGTCAAGTCAATAATTGTGACAATTGAAATACTCAGAGGACCAGGTTAATTTATGCGCTGCCTCTTAATAAAGTGCACTACATAAAGTGCTTTGCTGGAACCAAAACTACTTCGTAATAGAAGCAAAATGCCTCACTATAATTAAACCACAAGGCGACAATCCTCACCATACAGGTTTTCGAGCAAAGATATAACGTGAATCTCTACTTCCAATAACAGTTGAGTCGTCTTGGCAAAGCCCATCGTCCTTGTTCGTCAAGAATGAACCAGGAGAACACTGTTCAGACAGTTTAACGAAAAGAATAAATGTCGCACTTAAATTGAACAGTTTATTATAAATGAAAGAAAATTATTTGGCATTGCAGAATACATGTACAACTGGCTAAATGCGATATTGAAATTTGAATACAAAAATAAATCCCTATCAGAGAAAGCTTCTAATGTTGCTACTTTTAGTGATGACGTAAAAAAGCAAAGCTCTTTAAAAAAAAAAGACGAGAAATAATTAAATCAATGTAAGATCGTCTTAATACATCTTTGCAATCAAAAGTTGTCTCTTCTCAATGCATGGGAGAGTTTAAATGATTGAAACCTTGGAACAATTGCAGTTGTTAAGTATTGACATCCGTGAGCAGCCATTGCATTAAACGAAACATAGTTTTATTTGCATTGTACTACTCACACTGGTCTTTTAAATGAATTTGCAGTTTCGTGCAAAAACCGCACACGTGCCAAACTCATTTTACACCACGAACTATATTTGAAGCAAGAACGAGAAGGCCTTTTTATGCTTCAAAATATCCTGAGCGCAATCTCTAAACTACCTGTGGCATTATGTAAGAGGGATTTCCGATAACACCATGCGACAATTTCTTTTTAGAGTGTGACAATGTTTCTGAAAAAAAACGGCGTAAGTACGCTTGCCCTGTCTATTGTCAGGAGATTGAAATGGAAAGATTTTCTATTTTCATTAACAAAGAACAAAATGGTAATTTTCATGAGGTATACGTACAGAACAGCTCTTGTACTTTTTTTTAACTTGTCCTTTAAATCATTTCATCCGTCGGAAGTTACCGGTTATTGTACATAGTTGGTAGCAAAGTTGCAGACAAAACTTTGGCATTAATGAAAATTTACATTGACGGTTCTCATATTAGTTTCTCTTTGATTTAATAAATTTCGTTTAATGATTGATTTCTTCACAAACAAGCTCGTGAAAGAAAAAATGAAAGTGCATTTTGACATAAGCAAGCATAACGTTTTTGTATCCTTATTACATGTAATTACCCATTTTTACCTTAGGTCATATTTTCTTATCCATTTCATCACTGAATCCAGAAGCTATTCCCTGTCCTCGCTCTTTAATCACATTTGTGATTAAATGACTCGGTAGTCTCGGGCCATTTCCGCTATAACTGCAGATGACATCTTATCAATTTAATTATAATTTCATCGATTTCTTTTCCTTGGCTGCGTTTTACTTTTCGTTGTAAACGCAATCAGTGATAAAGATGGGAGGTCTACTTCATGCAGACACGTAGTAATTCGCAGTGCTCTATTTATTGCAAATTATACCTTGTGGCACGGCAGGATTTAAGACCACCGCCAGGTTTGGTTTAATGGCCCCTTTTATCCAAACTACACGAACATTGCTGTATTTTGTACCAAGGAACTTATCTCACCAATGTTTAGTCACTTGTAGATATGTGTTATTTACCCATTTCTCCATCCCAAGTAGTGTACATGCTTCAGTTAACATGTACACACTGTAAAAGTGGGCATATTACGTTAGAGAAGTTTTCAAATTACATCGCCACAAACCGCAACATCAATGAACATTTTATACACATCACTGTAAACATGAAGGTCGCCCACTACCTGGCAGAAGGGCGTGACTTGTTGCATTGAGAGTTGTGTAAAAAATAATTACCCTAGTTCCCTTCTGCCAGGCAAAAGAAATAGTAGAAATTAATAAAAAAAATTAAAGATGATTCTAAATTGGTAACTACTATCCATTTCCCCGTTGGTTCTATCGCTGCATACGTTACAAAACATAACCAGCTTTCTTTGCGTACCTTGCCGCATGCATCACTAAAACAGATTTCAGATATGAATACATTACCTACAGACCAACAGCTGAAGTACATGATAAAAACAGGCAACTGTTGTGTTCCCTGACGTCTATAGCAGCAACACATCATTATACTGGCACATTTTGGATTTATTTCCCCTGTCAGCCTATTTTATTTTTCTATCGTTAGAAAGCATCACAGATGGGGTCATTTTCTTATTCAAGAGACCCTGTCCAATAGCCACGCGTGAGTACATCTGTTACGGCTGAAGTACATGAACAATTTTTCTAGCAGCGCACAGGTGACGTTTCAAGCCATTTGGTACTTTTTCCAAGAGTCTTTCTTCCTATGAGGTTAACGCTGTTGAAATCCATGCCAGTGGAGTGTCAGTCAGGATTTTGTTTTATTTATTACTCACTATTTGGGATTTTTTTTATATTGGCTCGAAAGTTGATAAGTGTATTTTGAAAATATTTTATTTAACCGTCTTGTGTACAATGTCTTTTGAATATAATCATTTTCTATGAATTTGGTCGAGTTCAATGTAAATACTTCCTAACATGGTTACTATAGAGAAGGTAAATTACACCATGTTTGTACATCACCAACACAATAAATATTCACGCACACTATGATTTGCTCTAGAAATATGTTTGTCTTAGAGAATATAAGTGAGGCCTGCCTCCACTAAGAATGGCCGTAGAAGAGTCCACTTTACGGTCCGCCGGCCGAACCAAAGTCTCTCCATATTCTACCATAGTATAGGATGAATCTGGTTCCATGTTACTCATCGACATTGTACGGCGTGGTCGCCGTCTCCTCTCCCATTTGTCAGGTTGGTATCGACGTGGGAGGCAATCACAGATTATCTTGATGAAGGCACGCTTGAATTTACGACTAGCGAAGGCATAGATAGCCGGATTCAGTGCGCTATTGGCATATCCTAGCCATGTCACTACGGGAAATGTAATGTGGGGATTAACAATACAATCTGGACATACTGGTGCCATGACATTGACAATAAAGAAAGGTAACCAACACATGATGAAGACACCCATGACAATACCGAGAGTTCGGGCAGCTTTATGTTCTCGGTTCATACCGGCAAGGAGAGATCGTCTTGCATTATTCACAGCATTCTTAGCTCCACCGTGGATTCCTCCAGTCATTCCAACGTTTCGAGCGTTATACCCATTGGTATAACCGGCCGAGTGGTGGTTGTTTACTGTTCCCCCACGATGTACTCTCATAGACATTGCACCTTGGTGATGGGAACCAGCATTAACTTTCCTCTGTCCACTTTTGATAACCTTAACTTGCTCAACAGCTGTTCGGTAAACTTGTGCATACATGAATATCATCAAAGTGGATGGGATATAGAACGAAATGCAAGATGAAATGATAAGGTATGTAGCATCTTCGGGAAAAACGCAATCAGTATCTGGTCTATCAGGTGGTTCCACGGCTTGCCACCAAGCAATGCAAGGAAATGAGATTAACGATGAACAAATCCACACACAGGCAATCAGAAATATTCCCAGTTTCTTGGTCATTCTAGAGGGATAGCTCATTGGACGCGTGATGGCCCAATATCGATCCACAGCAATCACACACAAATTGGTTATCGATGCGGTACACGCCAATATGTCAATTGCGTGCCACAAGTCACACCATGATTTGCCAAAGACCCACTCACCGAAACGGAGTTCATTATAAATAGCGAATGGTATGACTGTGGTTCCAATGATGAAGTCAGCTGAAGCAAGTGAGGCAATGAAAAGATTGGTAACAGTTCGGAGGCACCTCTCGCGATAAATGGCGAGAATGACTAAGGTGTTTCCAAAGACTGTTAGAAGGCCGAGGACTGACAGCAAGCTACCGACGATGACATCCTTAGCAAGGGTGTCTTCAACCGGTGGTTCTCTCGTTACAATATCTACCATAGAGGCAGAATTATTTAGCCAAGTTGTACTGATGAATGAGGTGGAATCCATCATTGTGGTCGTCTGGAATCTATCTGTTGTGGTCCCAGAGTCATAAATACCTGATGCTGCAGACGAAACGCTAGCTATACGCGCATCGTCTGTCGTATATGCCTTTGATATCGCTGTTGAGCCGGTGAGAAACTCCGATTGAGTAATGAACGCAACGGCAGATTGCTGGTGTTCCACTGTTGACCATGAAGCGCCCGTACTATCCGAAGTAATTCTCTGAATATATGTAGTACTGGGAGATGACGTTGTGGTCGAGTCCACAGTAATATCGGTGATATATTCGGCGGATGTGTAGGCGAGATTCCTGGTCCAACTAGCCCACGTACCTTGCGACCCCGTGCTAACCCACGGGGGAGCTGTGCTCGGAGGACCTGCCATGCTCCTGAACTATCAACAACTGTAATGAAAGTCGGCGTAGAGAGTCTTTCAGGGAGTAGGTCCGCACTAACAGTTTCTCCCCACCAGGCGATTATTGATTGGAGCTGCGCCTGATTGGCTAAACGAACACTGCAAAACACATTCGAGTGTGATAATGGAACTTAACAGAGCTCCACCACCGAGTGCTTGAACTAAGGAAACTGTTATGTAAAAGGGCGCCACCATACGGAAAGATTCGGTATGCTTATATTTTAAAAAAACCTCAGGAACTAGAGATGGATGACGGAAACAGGATTTAAATTAATAGACATAAAATGTGTAATGATACAGATTGAAATAAAAGGGTGCCAACATAATGGAAATAAAGAAGAAATTTCATAAAACTTCTATATGATCCTTTTTGAGTTTCAGCCTTGGTCCGCGAAGTAAACGATAAAACGTTTGACGCAGTAAAACAGTTGCCGAATTTTCGAAGCTTATTTTCACGAATAAATATAACAGTGGAATCAGTGTGAAACTTGTTGGTGACGCTTCTGTTGGGCTCTTGGTCCAGTACATCTGCATGCACTTTACATGATGGATTTAAAGCTTGTTTAAGCATGGTATGATCTCCAGCTGCTTTTTAACATCAATACACGTACGCTTGCAGCGTCTATATTTGTGCGTTTTCTCCTTTACCTACCTGTACATCTACATCCGCTTCTTTCAGCAAGCCTTGGATCAGTATCTAGGTCTACGGCAATCAAAATGTCAACGCTACAGCTTGTCAGTCGTCTCCTTAAACACACACGCATGTTTTGACAAGCCTAGCGAAGGGTTTACAACCGGGGAAGGCACATATGATTTGTACAAATATTGGAGACCCGCGAAATCTGCTCGGGTCGGATCGAATGTGTTTTGCTTTATCTTAAAGTGCAGGCCGTATCAGATTTCAGGTGAATGCGATATGGTAATAGGAAGGTAGTTTGCGAGGAATTGATCGATTGGTTCAGTCAATGTTTATTATCTCCAAAAACTTGTGCATCACAAATAGGAAAAACTTAATCATCCTCTTGACATACGTTTAGAAAGAGAACAGCATATTATCAGCATGATTAGACCAGCTTGAATTTCATAAGATACGGCCGTAGAAGAGGCAGACAAGATAAACACAAACCAAAGATGTGGTTGTAATATCATTACATCTGGTGCACACTTGTTACTGGAACTACGAATGATCAGTAATAGGATTGACTAGTAGTGGTTTTGGGCAAGAAAGCATGCCGCCGCGGCACACTGATCTTTCACTTACCGCGCATAGACAGAATGAATGACAAAAAGGTAGGGCCTATGTGAACAACATTCATAGTAACCAAATCAAAAAATGATTAAATTGGGGCTAGTGGCTGTCCTTAATTTGTACATGCACATGTTGGTCTTATTAATGGTTCGCCGATAGTCAACCGTTCTTCAAACTGTTACGCTTGCCATTAGTTGACAACCATGTACGACAAAAAAAATGTTTCTTCTAAAATTTATATTTTATCAATAGAGGGCGACAAACAAAATTAACATGCAGATCTAACGCGGCAAAGCACGGTTTTGATAGAAACTTGCAGAAATAAGTGAAGCCTATTGTAAAACACCCTATCGAGACTATCAGCCCCGAAATACTACGGCTATTGACCAACATGAACAAATCGAGCAGAGCCTTACATAAAAGTGTATGCCGGTGCTTTCTGTGTTGACCATCTTGACGAGTTGATTTTGGAAGAGCGCCCTCAAAAATGACGCTTACGCTTAAACTCAACAAAACGCATACCATGACAGAAGATCTAGAAAAATCACCCAGTAGTTAGTTCTTTGACTTATTTTCTAGAAAATAGTTGAAGTAGGTTTGCCCTATATCGGCATTTTTGAAGTTCAAAATTTCTGGTTGTTGCTAATGCATTGTGGGAAAACCTCCTTTCAATCCGTGCACTTTAATTCATCTGACAGAGCGCAAAAAATATCCTTCCTCCATGACGCAGCAGATATAGGGACTCGCGCATTTGGAGCCGCATACGCGCTAGCGCGATATCTTGCTATGGATTCTTTCGGTAGTCAAGCTCTTCTTCATGCATCGGTTAATCGAAGTTCAGGTGAGAAATGCAGTAGACTAGACTGCATATTTAGGCCACAGATAATGTTTACGACGTTTCGTATTTTTTTACATGGTTTGCATTATGTTTTCATCTCTGCATGTACAGATGTATGAGTCATGTACATATGTGCGTAGAGTAGGTGTGTTACGTCATAGTTGGGTCAGCCATCATCATGGCTAGCCTCGCTGTATCACAGCGTGTTAGTAAACGAAGAGTTCTGTATATGGACAACACTTGATGCACAAACCTGTGAGATTTGTCTTAATAAACCTTGGCCTAATTGTTTTCTAAGTGAATTCTTAACTTAAATTTCTCAGCTACATTTTACTTTTTGGGACGTGTTAACACTTCCTGGAGGCTTGTCATAAACATTTTAAGGGAAAATTAGAGTTTTCCGTGTGTGGTGTGTGGAACTCTTTTTTGGAAGAAAACACTGTTAATGATGTGTACCCCAAAACTGTGAGGTCCGACGTCTTCCCCGCTCCCATGAGCGTGGTGGACGTTGAACCCCACAGTTCTGGGGGTAAATGATGTGCAGTAGCGCCCACGACATCAATCCAGTGGCAAACACCAATCTACAAGTACAATGTATCATCCAAGTTCATTCACTTTCACACTAAGGATTAGGTTAGTCCAAGATTCAAACAACAATCGGACTCTCATTTTTATGCAAGGTTGTATTCTTTGCTAGTTCTAAGATAAAACTTGAAGCTATGCATGGTGGAAGTACTAAATTAGGTTAGGTTTGCGGTTGCACCATGTACAAGGAGTGTTGCTAGTTCTTGGAAGGAGCCAGTTCGGTATTTCAAAAAATTCAGGAATGAACTGCATGCCGCGCGTGAGTCAGTGTATTGCTGCATTGATAGGACAGACTATCACGCGCCTCGTGCTGAGCATGCACTGTTGGAATATCGAACTGGCTCATTATTTTAACTATGTATGTGTATAACGGTAAGATTAATATATCCATTTGTTTCTTGACAGATTCTGGTGACCCTGAGGTGGAATATCGTGTCAAGAAAGGTATGTGTGTGATATCTAATAACAATTCCTTGATGTAATAAATGCTAGTGTACTTGTAGCATATTAAACCATATTTGCCAAATTTGATTATTTGCTTCTGTTGGTCTGCCCCTCTAACAATGCTGTGCTTTAAATTTACTCTTGTTTTTCAATCATCTTAACACCTTTGACCTTTCATTCAACAGTAACTGAGAAGTTCTCGGAGTGTATGCATATCGTTGCCAATGAGCCTTCACTTGCCTTGTTTCGAATTCAGGAACACATTAGAAAATCTTTACCAAGGCTGGCAGAATGCAAGGTAAGCTTAAACCAAGTTAGCCTGACTGTAATTAAAATGTATTTCCCAAATCATCGTAGGAGAATAAAAGCCTCCAATTTTAAAGTAATCTGATGTACATGTATAGCTCCATTGACTTTGTTACAGAGTCTTCAGATTAAAGGTAATTTAGATTTGCACCCTTGTCGTGAATTAAGATTTTGTTTTATGTCAAGATTTTTTATCATTCTTTCTTAGATGGAACTTGGACAGACACAGCAACTTGTTCAAGGGGCATATTATGATGTGGATTATGCCATCAGGTAGGAAAGGAACCAGTCACATTGTTTTAAAGGCTCACCCTTTTAAAATAGTTGTTACAGATCACCACAGAACTTGCTCCAGCCCTAGTTTTCTTAAATTACTATGATGGGAACATACGATTTTCTATGTAGACATTACATGACAAATCTATTCTTCTGCCATCTGTTTCATTTCTCCATGATAAATTTTTTGTAATCACATTCTGTCTACAGGGCTGTGAGTGAAATACAGAATAGCACTCATTCATTTACATCAATAGAGAATATGCTGAATGATTCCATAGCACAAAAGAGACAACTCATTGCCAAGACACAAGCAGCTAGAGCAGCTAAAGCAAGGTAAACCACCTGTCAACTACCTGTCATCTGGCCAAATGAGAAGTGAACTGCTACATGTAAAGTTACATGCAGTTATTTATAATAATGATAAAAACTTGTCCCTGTAGATATATAAATTATTAGGACACATGCACCCCTATCTGAGATTCTTTGAACATGTTTGTTCCAAAATGCCATGGTGATGCTGGCTGTGGTTTGTGAGGGCATATCTTGCCACTCTAGATGCACAAAGTGGAAATTAACCCTAACAGTCCCAAATCCTCCAATTTCAATACTATTTCACATACATCCTTGGGGGTTAGGGCTATAGGCACTGGTGAATGTAGAGTTGATATTTGACTTGGCAAACTTAGAACCTGATATAGTACTTCCATGTTCCTGTATTATTGCCTTCAACAGAAGAGATTCTCCATTGACACTAATCAAAGATGAAACAGGTGAAACAGTCAATAGAGACTCCACATCTTGAGCACTGGATGTGAGGAATTTGGATGATGTAAGAAAACATGGCCTCCATTCCATACCTTGGAAGGCACGAGGATAAACTGAGGCAGGCAAGCACACCAGTTCTGTGTGTCATTTGTACGTGTAGTTTGTATTGTGTCATTGACATTTAAAGGCTTTTTGTACCACAAAAGCAGTGAATACGTGCAGTTTATCCTGATTGTTGACCGTAGTGTTGCTTGATTTAAATGAAGCAATGTTGTTCAAAGCTAGCCTGTAGCATCAGTGATGAATCAATGGAATGGAACTACATGAAATGTAAAATGAGTAGTTTTTATGCATTTTCATGATGTGTCCACCACATATCTAAAGGTGAAATATTGCTTACGCCATTTGATTTGTAAGCAGTTACATTCCTCTATTAAACAAAATATTAGTTTTGGACGATGACCAGGAATGTTTCAGTCCAGTTCAGTGTTGAAATTCGTACATTTCTTCAACAAGTGAAGTGAATAATGCACAAATTTTCGGAGAGATACCCAGTTCGAGTAACAAGGTCCATTTATTGTGCCATCCTGTCATGGATCAGTCTTCACCGGATTAAGGGGACAATTTCTTTGGTTGGGTAAGTTAGGAGTGAGTTGTGGGGACATTTTTCTGTCCTCATAACGTTTTCAGTCCCCACAAAATAGGTGAAGTTTTGTGTGTTTGTCCTCACAACCAGGGAATAAGTTTTTGTGATCTCGTAAAAAATGGTATGGCTAGTAAAGAAGTACAAAAAGAAGAAATCAAAGTTTGAAGAAAATGCAACAGGAATATAATAAGTGATCACAAAGTTTAAGTGTGGCGTTGATGTAAATGCAACCAGCTTTTGTGACTCTTGGCAGCAGCGGAACGATTCTCAAAGTGAGGAGGGTTGAAATTGTGATGCTACCAGGCATCAAACATTAAGCCCAGCCCTATTATAGGACCTGTCAAAAGTGGGGAAGCCATGCCCTCAGTCCGAACCCCTCGGTTCTGCCGCCGGTTGTGACACTTCAGCGAGAGACAAGGATGATATCAGTGTCTTTGTTTCTCTCGTCATTATCCAACTATCAAGAAATCTTGGAATCAAAGAAATGATGTCTTCATAACTAGATTGCTATTGATATGTATCAAATGGAAAAAGTTAAATTGAAGTCTGCAGTGTTCTTCCAGGTAAATTAAAAAAGTGCATTTTTTAACAAATGTAGCTATTACAATGTTTCCTGTTTTATTTGTGAAGTTCATTCCCTGTTAATAAGTGCACTACATAGATCTGTAGATTCAATATCTGTTAATTAATGTGGTATACTGTATTTCCCTGAAAGCTGTCGTAAACACGCACCTACTTTCTTTCTGCGCATTAACTTCTCTCCTCTCCTACCTACTCCAAGCCCCGCCCATCCCTCATCATTTTATTCCTTAGTGACTTTCCCTTGCCATGCTGTTATCCCAGCCAGCCTTGCTGTTGCCAAGTACTAGTTTGAAGAGCATGCTGCTTTTCAAATCTTGATGGCAAAATACAGTTCTCAAACAGTTAATGTGTGCCCCACGATGTAATCTGCAAAATTTAAATAGCGCCACCATTTGACCCGACTTGGAAAGTTGATCATACTTCACTATTTTGGAGACCTCCTATTTTGTGTAGGTTACGGTTAATTAACAGGAATGATTGTCCATTGCTCCTGAGAACCTGGTGGGGAGTGATGGATGTGCTGATATTTGGGTGTTTTCTCAAAAAAGTTAAAGGAGGTATATAGAGACCCCAAAATGAAATCGCTCAAGTCGATTTCGTCAACTTGTATATGGAAAAATACTTCTTGTTCAATGTAACCTCCAGGCCCAACTGACCTTTTAAATTTCTTAATGGGAATGTGATCTTAATTTTATAATCGACCATTACTCATTAGAACTACATTGCATTTTTTCAATTAGTTAATGATGATCCCCATATAGTATTTGAAAGTTGCAAGTATACCCATTTGTGCTTGATGCAATGTTCTGTTTCAATTTGGGATTTCCGGACATATTTTCTTTACTACCTGCTGAGGAATTATTATTGGGCGTGTGCGCGCCAGACAGACATCACAGCATGAAACATTGAGTGGGAATTGTCAAATATATGACGTCAACAATTAAATGTGCACGCGCTTAACGCGGTCAATTGAGTATTGCATGCATAATTGTGGGGTTTTTTACAGCTTGTTTCGTCAAAATTTATCTACCTTTGCTGCATTCTGCTGTAAGTATCCAGAAGTCTATGTTCTCTCTGAAGACTCTGGTTGATATAAAATAAGAGATGGAACAGAAATCTTAAATAACGTTCAATGTAATTTTGTTGTCACGTACATGACACAACCTGGGGTGCTTCCATCGTTTGGTTCGCGAAGACGAAAATGAACGTATTTATAAGATCCATTCTTAAATTTACTACTTCATTTTTAATTCTTTGGCAAGCGTAAAGAAATCAGAAAGTAGACTTCAAAAAAATCGTTTTATTTGGTGTGAAGGTCATATACAGAAACGACTTGGTGATGATTTGGTGAACATGTATAGATGCATTAAGATACTTGTTACTGACTTTCAGCATTGGGTAACTCACCTCACATGCAGATGGTAATAGATACCAGTGTTATTTCTAGCATTCATTTGATGTCAGGTTGTTTCGCTTGATGTCTTTTCAAAACACTTCAAACATCCGCAACAGATCTTGAATGCTTTACATTCCAAGGAAACCAGAATTACAAATTCAGTGGATTCCTTTAACTCCCTTGTCCACTGCAGGCATAAACTGTGTTCGTGGCACATCAATCGTCGGTCTCACTGTTTGTATGCCTTGGTCTTAATTCCAGTAGGTCTGGGGATCTTCTGATGCAAGTACCAGTGGTTTGCTCGTTAAACGCTTTGAGTACTGATCCTTGTACCACAATTACAAGGAGTGTGCGGATCACTTAGGACACTGTTAGAAAATTCAGATTTGCCCCAGTCTCCAAAGGCAAATTATTCCTCAAAAACAAATTGCTTAACCAGGTATTAGAACAGCCCGTGTAGTGCATGAGCAGCGTGCTCCATCCAGTGAATGATTAATGGAATGTCCATAGTATATCGCGCAAAGTCATTGTTCAAATCATTGTTACTTTCCCAAACAGTTAATAAAATATCAAAAAATTATTATGGTGATATTAAAGTCACCTATAGTAGAAATTAAGCAAATTTAATTATAAACATTATAGGAATGGAAGAGCAGGATTTGAACTGCGACCTCCATAGTGTGCCGGCTTAGGTTCAATCTCCGTTCCGGTCTTTACCCATCTGTAAAGTTATTTTGTCACTGTCTGCAGCTAGTGACTTTTCAATTATCTATTAGGGAGAAATAGGTAAAGAAAATGAGACTAAAAAGTTTATTTTAGTTTTTCAATATGCTTGGCAATGTATTTTATTATCCACCTGCTCGAAAAGCTTTAAAATGTTTTTTTTATAAATTTAATTGGACGGACGGAACTATCGAAGAAACTCATGCAAGGACTATCCGTTAGTGGGCTATTGACTCCAAATTGCAGTTCACGTATTGTGGCATCCTCCACAGCCTGATGTTTCAGCTGAGTCTCAAGTGTAGTCAAAATATTTACCCAGTTGTTTCAATAATTATACTCCAGTCTGCACTCTTGGGTCACTGAGCTTTCCTATTCTGTGAGACAGTTATGTTCTTATACCTTCTTACCGAATTTCATTCTTACGCCGATCGTTTCAGAGAAATCTTTACAATCGTCCAATCAGATTTTATCATGCACGCTTGCAAGACAGATGTTCGATGATCACTTCAGTTTATAACTCAGGTTTTTCATTTTATGGAAGTTGGAACGACTTAATGCTATTAGCTAATGACTGCTAAATTAAAGATATGCTTGAAAGAATTGATCAGTATGCACATCTGATATTTTGCCATGATTTAAGTAATTCGTCCTCTGTCATTGATATGACCCGTATAATAATGCTCAGATGGCTGTTGCTGATTTGATGTGCAACTCTCACCACCCGTAAGATTTGATAACTGGGTAATCGGATTATTCTTTATTGGATTGAGATTAGTTGGACAATGTGGTTCATCAGTGTTGACTAATCTAACTGGGTCAGATCAGAAAACAAAATCTTGGCATTTAAAGCAGGTTAAGCCAAGGCTAAGGCATTCAATTACGCTCAAAGAATAACGATACGAATCTTTTGGAACCTGAATATCACTTCAGCATTTATGTTTTATTTCTAAGTAAACATGTTCGTTCGTGTACATCTTTCTTATTTCTTATCACATACTTTTTATTTACTGCACTCCTCGATTGCTCTTTTCAATTTTGAATTTATGTCGCGCTATACTTTTCTGATACTTTAAAAATTGCCAGTTTCCAGAACCTATTCAAGAAAATTACAAAAGATCAATTTTTCCACTTGTTTGTTCAAAATACTCGATCAAAGTGTATTCCAACAACAAATTATAACCTGGCATGTAGGTCGATATGCGTTGTAGTCGAATAGCGCTCAGAGTCATAGTTGGTCCCAGGTTGCACTATGTTCGTGTTTTGTGGCACACTGTGTGTTCTCAATATGTTGGCGTGTAAGTTCCCTTAGAGCTTTACAACCAGCCACACAGCTACCAGCTAATGTAATTTTGTCTTAATTACGCCAGGATTTTCAAGCTGTTACCCACATCTGCCGCGAACCGGTCAGAGTCTAAGATACAAGGAGAACCTGAGAGTGGATGAGAATGAGACAGAATTCCCATAGAAGGTTAAGAGTGAGAGGAGACTCTGGGGGTAGATGCAATTAGAAGACGCACCCTCCGGCCGATGTGACCTATTGCACGGTTGTAATTTCAGAAAGATGACTGCTCTGTTCTTAAACGGCGACTCATGCTTAGCCATGCAGACTTCATACATGCAGTCGATGTCATATAGATCCCTCGACCCAATTTCCTTTTGTGAGGCATTACGTTCCGTATAACCATAGAGCTATTAAAAAAGGTTTGCAAACAGCTCCCAACCAAGAAAGAACAGGGAAATGTTTCAGGAAAGGGCATTTTTATGGCAAAATAAAAATTGAACTTCGATAAAATTTATAAAAATGCAGGCTTCTTATTTGCTGTTGACATGCGTATGCCTCATAGCCTGTTGCCACTTTAAATGAAGTGAATCAACGAAAAGGGTGAAAACATGAAATTTGACATTCGAAAATGGCGTGGTAATTATTGCTTATCGACGAAGTACTAGGAAACGATTAAACTGTGTTTTCGTAGAATAAACCTCCAGTAATTTGACGAAAATCCTGTTTTGTAAATTGTGTATTTCGTAAAGCTCATTGGGCCGCTGACTTGGAACACGGGGTTTGGTTTCGTCTGTGACTTCCTACCTTCATTGCGCTTGTATGTTTTTTCTGATTTGTGTAACTCCTATTTCAGAAGCTAATCTACATTTATACGAAGAGACTTGTGAGATTTGTTGTCATTTGAAGGGGGATTTCAGTGGTGATCCAAGTAAGTCAAACTATTTGTACACTGGCAGTGACCAAAAACTGGCCTTTATGCATGTAATGTGGAATTGAGAAAAGGGGGAAAATGGGCCAGTGTTGGCATAAGTCGCTGACCGGAACGTGATAGTTACTACGGTCAACGTGGAGATTGGGTTACCCGACTCGGCTTTTTTTCATTTCTCCTAAGAGGATACGTTTGACTTGTCTTCAGGTATGTTGGTCAAGTTGGAGTCCAGTGTGAGTTAAGATTGATTACGAATGTGTTTTTTCTCCATTGTGTTGTCTTGCAGCATGGTCTTTTTAAATTCCAGTGACATTGGCGATACCGACAAAAATCGGTCGGCAGTGGTCGAAAATCATGCTTCCTTGTATGTCCTTTATTCGCCTACCCAACTGACAAGATTTTTTTTGCTGCGTTAGCGGGATGACTGTATTGCGCTTTGCATGTCGCCTGTAGTAGGGTCATAATCCTCGTCAGTGTGAAACCACACAGTAAGGTACATCCCTGGCTAGGCATCTCTATCAAGTAATAAAAACGTCGCATAAAGCTTAAGATGCTTCCATCCTATAAGATTGCCGCTGGCAGTGAGCGTAGTTTCTTTGTTTTTCAGACTTGTGAAAATATCTACTAGGTCACGCGCGGCAAGATGTAGGGAGACATTTAATTGATTGAGAACCTGGATACGAGAATTTAAGTGGGCTAATTTTACCAAGGCACTGAGTGTTAATATCAATATCAGGTAATAGTTTGAGTTGAAATCATCCAAAATGCAGCCGGTCACTTTGATAAGAAAACACAGGCCGTCGGTTGGCTGACATTTCGACAAATATGAAGTCATCATGTGCATCGAGTCAATTTCAGAAAATAATCTGCTGATTGGCTGAAAGGCAAACAGAGACTTGACTGTGAAACTGCCCCTGGGTATTTAACTGTGGGATGTTTCGGGCTAAGACAATGTAAGATTGTATGCAAAGTTCACAGTGTGACTGAGTAGTAAAGCATCAGAGGCTGTGGTCATGAAATGGCCAAAAATTAAACTTGTTTCAGATTATTTGAAGAATCTTAACAGCTTGAGCTTGGTTGAATCCCAATTTTTTTCCAACTTCCAACCAGAATTTAAATAAGATGAGTGAGGTGGTGGTCGGTATAAAATGGAAAGACAACCTTTTATTCGTCACTCTAATGAATTTCAATTGTACTACGAACTACCGTGTGCATGTATACAACTTGACCGACTTTGAAGTAGGTCATTTTTCTGAAAAAAAGTCATAGAATTGCCCTGAACAGTCAGATTCATGCCCTGCTGGCAAACACCGAGAAAGCACGTCAGTGAGTGCGGGATCCCCGAGGGATATCACGGGGCGTGAATGTATGAAGACGGTCGAGAGTATACAAAAACTCCGCTGCTTTCCTTGCTGTCTCGTGTTGCCTGGGGATGTTTTTCTTGTGCCATTGACATCGTATATCCGTTGAAAATCATAGTAAAAAGTTCATCTAATGTAAGGACTGCAATTAGGAATTCTGGAATAAATTAATGTTGGAAATGTTGCACAGACACCCCACACTAGAATTAAGTCTTGTGGTGAGATGCAGAACATGGATACCAATGAAATGCCAAAACGTAACAGACAAAAGCACAATGCTTACATTTACCCTGAAATCGGAGTAGAATCCTGCTGTATAGCTTGTATTCTATCAGTACATAAACTAGGTGCATTCTGTGTCAATGTTCGTGACATAATAGTGTAAGCTTTGGTGTAACATCTTATGATAGTTTCGCGTCAATTTTCATTCCTATCTCATTCGGTTGTTTTTCTCACGCATCTTTTGAAACTCAAGCTGAGGTGGTTTTGTTGGACGCATTCAAACACATCTCGCATCGACTTGCTAAAAGATAATTTTGTGTCATTAACTTCATCAACTGTCAATAATTGATAATCATGGTTTGAAATGATTTGAGTTGTTTACGTACGTGTACATGGGATCGAGTTCAAGCACGGAGTCGGAGTTATAAGGTTGGATTCTTACTCGGCAAAGATCTCAGTCTTGAGAATCTGTTTGTCTCCATCACCTTCTGTTGACCTGTGTTTACCTTGGTGACTGGCATTATTTTTTCTCAAGGATTTGTTCATAATGGTGTTAACTTAGCTGCAATCAAGCGTAACCAAGTGATCAGTCATGCCCGATAACGCGGGTAATAATGAAGTCTATTTGGAAAGATGCCACCAGACTCAGGCTATTTAACTCTGTTTGCATCAAAGACCTGTAGTACAATGATTTTATTCGTTATTCATACTAAGAGTTTCATACGAAGTGGATAATGACACCCACTCCATTTTTTGTTGGTATAAAGATCACTTTATTCCTTGCAATCAGAAATCTTATGCAAAGGTTGACTTTTTTACCCTACAGATGAGTAAAGTTTTTAGTTGCAATGGCATGTATTACCAGATGCATACGTTTAACCAAATGGGTGGTTAAAAATGGTGCAGTCAGCGTTTGAATTGGAACGATAGCAATTTGCATTGGGTACACATGTGTACATGTAGGGGCAATGATGCGCAGCTCTCTTTAGAGACGTCTGGGGAAAAATGAAAGTAAGAAACCAAGGTATTTCACGTTTTGTTTATTGCATTATTAAGCCAATGTCTTTGACGGGTTTACTTCGCTCTTTCAGTGGCATTTGGTATCTTCTTCAGTCTGTATTAATTACTAAATATAAAAAACCTGAGAAGTTGTTTGACTAATTGACTATCATACCCAGCAGGTGCTAATGGGGAAAAGCCCATTACAGGAGTGGAGGCCACGGTTGCAGACTCAGTGCATTACGATGTTAATAAAGTCGTTAAATTTAGCCAGACAGAACGTGAAAAGGTCTTCGATAATAGTTTGGCAGAAATTTACATTTCGTAACTATAGGCCTCTCTTTCAGCTTGCATAAGCCTATGTAAGCTTTTCTAGAGCGAGTCTTGTGGATTTTGGTTGTGCTGGGAAATAATAAAAACCATTCAGGTACCCATCACATTTCGGAAAAGATATTTTCTTGTCCAGAATATTAAAATCAACCGAGTCACCGTCAGATATCTAATGTAAAATCTTATCCATATCCAATTGCTGATGACTTCTACACCCTAGTGTTCAGCCACATGTTTGAATTCACACAGACCAGTTGGTAGTTTACTGTAAATGCCAGTCTGATATACAGACTGTCTTCCCTAAGGTACATCCCAAATGTTACATTTTTTCTCCCCAAATCCCAAGGACAGAACAAAAAAGTAGTTGTCTTATGTTATCAAGATTATCTCGTCAACACATCATCGGATTTCCATGACGTCCCTGAGCTTGAAAAGATAACATTCTAAGCTTCAGTTTGATACCAAACCATTTCTGACAACTAGTTTGGGAGAAAACAAA